ATCCACATCAAAAATTTTTGTCAGGTTTTAGTGATGACAAGCTGATAGATAACTGCTTGAATTTTGCCTTTGCCATTTACTCATGATTTAATATTGGACCAGCCTTCTGATGATTCATTTTCTGCAAGAGGTATTTTACTATGTCCTGAGTAATGTCATTCTGATAATTATGATTAATCTCAACCCCTAGCACAGAATGGTGGTTCCTAAATTTGTTTGCACTTTAGAATCAATCACCTAGAGAACTTCAAAGACTCACTGCTGGTGAAAAGCAGTTTGATGGTTCCTTAAAAAAATGGAAATAGAAATACCATTTGACCTAGCAGTCCTAATGCTAAGTATATAAGCTAAAGAAATAAGAGCTGCGATGTGAACAGATATACGCACCCCTATGTTTATTGTAGCATTATTCACAGTAGCAAAGGGATGGAAAAACCGTATGTCTATCGTTGATAAAGAAACTATATGGTACATTCATACGATGAAGTACCGTGCAACATGGAAAAACAATAAAGAATTTGTGGAATATTGTACAACATGGCTGCATCTAGAATGAAGTAAGTTGGGCACAGAGGACAAATATTATATAAGACGGCTATTATAAAAATCTAAAAATAGTGTAACCACTATTGAAGGAAGGCAGTATGGCACTTTCTCAAAAAGGTGGAAATAGAAATAACATTTGACCCAGCAGTTCCACTACTGGGAATATACCCTAAAGAAACCAGAACTGCCACCCAAGCAGATATACACACACCCATGTTTATTGAGGCTTTGTTCACAATAGCAAAGAGTTCATCTCCGATTGTAAAAGTTGGTAAAACCCTCATAGGGTCGCTATGAGTCGCAGGCGACTCGACGGCACATAACAACAACAACAGCAGCAAAGAGTTGGAAACAACCCAAGTGCCCATAGACAGACGATGAATAGAGAAGCTGTGGTATATTCACACAATGGAATGCTATGCTGCATTGAAAAACAAGAAACTAATGAATTATTATACAAAATAGGTGATCCTAGTGGCAAGGAGCTGCAACTACAATCCCAGAGGCATACAGTTCGAATCCACCAGATGCTCTGCCAGGAAAGGAGGGACAATCTCCTCCTGTACCAGTCAGATCTGATTTGACAGTACACTCACACAAAAATAATTAAAAAAAATAGGTGATCCTGGAGGACATTATGCTGAGTGAAATAGCTCAGTCACAAAAGGACAAATACTGCATAAAGCCACGGTTGTAAAACGGGACTGACATCGGGGTTGGGGGAAAGAAGAAAAGAGGTGATAAATAATGTATACTGCATTGAAACAGATGAAGGAGAGAACTGTTTAGGAGGAATGTACGATTAGGTATTATTGTCATGGCAAGAGTCCAGACTGAAAGCTGCATGGTGGAGTGGACTGGAAGGTGGGGGATTATATAACAATGAAAGAATTCTTTCTTTCTTTTCAAAGAGAAGAATGAACTATAGGGAGGGATGGGCATGGAGGAAAGTTTGCAACAATCAATGAGTGGAAATCCAAAGTCTCTGTGCACTTCCATTAAAATTAATAAAAACAAAACAAAAAATTAATAAAAACAAACAAAAAAAATTGGAAAAAATCTAAAAAATAGTTTACACAGAGAATCATTATAAAATGGTCACCAGGGAAGAAAAGGAGAGTGAAAATGAATAAACTAGATAATAAACATCGATCAGATAGATGGAGGAAAAGGCAATGTAGAACAAGTGGGTGATCAGAGGTTGTGAGTATTGTAAATAATGTTAAAAACGTGCATGAATGATTGATTGTACAAATAATGTGCTCTGTAAATGTCCTCTCAAATAGCAATAAAAAATAATTTTAACTCCTTTGAGCTATGTCCTACCACCCCAGAAAGTGTGGAATTCTGGTTTGGAATTTTAACTGCATTCCAGATGATATTACTGTTCAGATACTTTGGGGAACCCCAGGTATAGAGTCTGCTTTGCCTGAACTATCTGTGAAATGTACCATATGACCTAGCCCTTCCGCGCCTGGATATTTTGGTTGCTGTTGGGTGCCATTGAGTTAACAACTCACAGTGGCCCCGTCAGCAGTTCTGAACCTTGCCCAATCCTGTGCTGGCCTCATCATCTCTGGTGTGCCCAAGCCTATTGTGATAGTCACTGTGCCAGTCCATCTTGTTGAGGGTTGTCCTCTGGTTCACAGACGTTCTCTACCTTTCCCATGATGTTTTTTAACAAGTACTAGCCCCTCCTGATAACATGCTCAAAGTATGTCAAACAAGTTTCACCATCCTTGGCCCTAAGGAACAACTCGTTGCACTTCCTCCTCCAAGACAGACTTGTTATTTTGTCAGACTTTATTATTTTATTATGTATGAGAGTCCAGGAGTGATGGTCACTGCGGGCCACACACATGGGATAAGGCAGAAAACCCTGGTCTCACGTGGTAGAAAAAGAAGAGAAAGAGGCAGAGATCAGACACACTGCAAAGAGTGGCCCATGGAGATCCAGTTCGAGGAATGTCTGATCAGTTTGATTTCAAGCAGACTGCAGTGTAAAGGCACTGAATGCTAATTGCAAGGTAACCTTGGAAACCAGAGCAGTATTGTGCTTCCCTCTGGGGCTGATGCAAAACCGAGCCAGGGCATACAAAGGAAAAAATCTAAGGCGAGCTTTCAACAAGTCCTGAGTGCTCTTATTTTTTGGCTTTTATTTTCAACATTTGCTGCTGTAAATCCTTTGTGTGGCGTCCCTGGAGCAGCCATCTGACTGTGTCAGAATTCCAAAAAGTTGAATATTCGTGTTATTGGTTTCAGTGTTCATTAATGGCTCAGGGAGAGAGGCTCTGAATTCTGCGAGTGAAGAACCACTAACTTTAGAAGTAGGAGCAACTCTTCATCAAGCAGCACTAGAGGCTGTATTGCTCCTGGTGGGGGTTCTGCACTTAAGCAGTGAGTTATTATGTTGCATGCTCACAAGTAGAGGTAACACTGTGTGGTGGTTCTCAGCCTGCAGTTCACAGCATGTGGGGTGAAGGGCTAGAATATTGTTTGATATATACAGGCTATATTATATTCTCTTTGTGATTCGAATCAAGTGCTCAGATTTCACCCTTGTAACATAATAGAGAACAATTAAGGTACTCTGAAGAAAAGAAGGGTGAGGCTCAAGAACTATGAAGCTGTTTTCTACTTGACCCAAGGATCCTGAAGGAGTCAGGCTGATCTTTCTTAGAAACAGAAACTATTGCAAATCATGCCTTCAGGAGTCAAGTCCTCCAGTCTGCTGAGTTTCTAAGACATGAGTTCTGAATAAGAAAATCATCTTTTCTGTGTAATTCTGCACTTCAGAGTGTTTTTATAAGTACTTCAAAACTAGCATGATCTAGTTTTTTTCCCCAACAAAAAGTTGTTACAGATAAATTCACTCTCATTTTGATGGTTTGTAGTATTGAGTTGTTGATTTAAATAAAGGTAGACTTGACACTGTTATTATTACGTGCCAGTCAAGGCGAGTAAAACTCATAGCAACCCTGTGAACAACAGATGGGAAGTCTGTCCTATCCTGCACCATCCTCATTGCCTCTGACACACTTGAGCCCAAGACTACAGTCACTGCATTAATCCATTTCATTGAGGGTCTAGACTTACTCACTAATATAATAATAGCACTAGGTAGTGGAGAGGTTTGTTTATTTTTTTAAAAAGCCAACATTATAATCGGATTGAAAATTCCTGAGTCTGAGCAAAATCTTCAACATTCCAAATTTCAAAGCATCTTGGTTTCTGTTATTTTTCTTGAATCAGCCAATAACTCCTTACCATAGATACACAGATCTACTGCTGGATTTTAAAGTAGAATGGTATTAATCCAGAGTCTGTTGCATAAGTGTGTTCTTGTTCTAGTTTTAAACTCTACCAAAATAATCATCCAGAGGTCCTTTAAAAAATATTAAAATGAAAAAATAAGAATAATAAAATATTTAAATTAAAATTAAATCCTCTCTTGTATTCTTTTATATTTTAAGTTTTTAATACTTCACGTGGACAATAAATTTTGTAGGCAGAAAATTAAAACAAAAAAACCCTAATATCTCCCTTTTGTTGCCTCTTGGCTTTGTAACTATTGATATATTATTGTTGTTGTTATTGCTTACCACCCACTTAGGACTGAATCAAAGCTGACCCTCCAGCAGGTAGCAGGTTTTCAGAGACAAGAAATCACATGGGACGAGACTGCTTAGCTTTCTCCCATGGAGCAGCTAGTGAATTTAAACCTCATGCCTTTGGGTTGGCAGTGCAACTCCATACCACTAAGCCACTAGAGTGATTTTATTAGACATGAATATTGAAAACAACAGTAGCATTTTGCATAGCAGAGAAAACAAGAACATGCATAGATCTTGCTCAGGAAATAGCAGATTCTGGACTATGGCCACCTCCAGGTCTGACAGGCATCCAGGTCACATCTGGTCCTTGTTTTGAGGTTAGTGCATATGGGAAAAATAAACTCCAGAGAAAGGATTTCAGTATCTCTTCAGAAACATCTAAAGGCCACCATGTACTTTCTTACAATTTTCCCTCTCAGTGATGGTAGCAATTCCCAATATCTCAAGATAAACTAATCCTCTAATCAAATGGAGCACTTTTTTCTTGTGATCTGAAATGGGCCAGCGGCCAGTGTCATTCAGATCCTGAGCATTGGACATGAACTTGTACCCGGGGTTTGTTTGCCCCTGCACTGGTAGGGAGTCTCTGGACACACAGACCCCATGTGCAGAGCTGCACAGCCACGCCCTCTTCCATGTTCTCGTGGCAGATCCCCTGGCAGCCCCACGTCCTCTCAATCAGACCACAACACACACGTGTGCCTTCTAGGAACCCACTGAGAGTCTTGAACCCACTCCCTCATTGTCAGCAAGTTGTAAGGGACACTGCTTTAGTCCCAGCTCTCAGCACCGTTGTCTGTCTCAATGCAAACAGTGGTTTCTGTCTTCTCCCTCCCACAGGGTCCAATAGCATCATCTGTATCAACACTGCCTGGACCTGGCCTGCCTTCACCTCCTCCTCCTCCACCTCCCCCCGGACCACCTCCACTTTTTGATAGTAAATGCAGCAAAGAAGAATCCTCTCCATCGCGCACAGCTTTATTTGCTCAGCTTAACCAGGGAGAAGCAATTATGAACGGTGAGAAAACAGGGCCATGAGACTATCTCCCTTTCCCGGGCACCCAGATCCTTCACATCGTTCCCTCCGGTCCCCGACACATGCTGCTTTTGGGAAGGCAGAAGCACCCAGGATGCTTCACCTCCAGGGCTCAGAGGGCTGTTGAATGGAACACAACTCGGAAACTGGGTTGGAAATCTGCCCCGTGTCTGAGTCCTCTACAATTAGGGCCTCAAGATCAAGTGAAACAAGAGTTAAAAACCCTTTGTTATCATTGAACTACCTTAATCCTCATAAGGAATTACTTTACAGATAAATAAAGAATAATATATGTGTTTCATTATTTGTGAACAGTGGTGTTGGGGGAGGGGGCGTGTGTGCACACACACCTGTAGCATCTCTAGCTTCTTAAAGACGTTTCACCAATAAAAAATTAACTACCAGGCTTCTATAAGCTCTACTTTATATTGGTCTTAGAATCTACATCTTTTTTTTTTCTATTTTTTTTTTTTTAGAATCTACATCTTAAACTTAAATCTTAAATTCTAGATTCTTAAATAAATAATGTTACCAAATACTCTCATTTATTATTTACATGTTAATACAGGAAGTTTGGACCATTTCCCTCTATATAAAGATGATATGTATTTATATATTGTATATTGCCTTTCCAGGGCTCCGGCATGTCACAGATGACCAGATGACACACAAAAATCCCAGCCTCCGGGCTCAAGGAGGACAAGCTCGGTCTCCAACCAAAACCCGCTCTCCTGGTCCCACCTCTCCCAAGTCTCATGCTCCTCAGAACCACGCTCCTGTGTTTGAGTTAGAGGGAAAGAAATGGAGAGTGGTGAGCAATGCCCTTTAATCCGTATTCCTGACATGATCTGATGAGAGGACCCAGAGCTAAACCACTTACTGAGATCTTAACAGGAGTAGGCCACCAGCTAGAATAAAATCTAGCTGACAAAATAAAATAAAATCCACAAGCTGGCAAATTCAGAGAGCAGGAAAAAGCGTTCACTGTGGAACTTGGCGATCTGCATCCTATTCTGATCGGCTCTAGGGTATTTCATTATATCTCACTGACAAAGACCCTTCACTACCCCAGCACTTATCAACTTCAGGGTAAACTATGTGACCTGGAAAAACACACTTGCATGTCATTGAAAGGTGGTGTCCCTGTCTATCCAAGGACTCTCCCAAGGATTGAAGACCAAAGTCAGGTTGCCACCAAGTCGCTCCCAACTTATGGTGACTCCATGCAGAATAGAGCTGTTCTGTAAGGTTTTGAGTTGCTGTTTTTTCATTAGGCTTTTCCTCAGAAGTCCTCTGGGTGGTCTGAATCATTTCAGTCAACAGCTGAGTGCATTAACTGTTGGCAGAACTTAGAAACCCAAGTCTATAGAAGTGGCTTGACAATCCATGATATGTAGACCCCTGTGTTATGTTCAGCCAATTTCCCCAACTCCATTAGACAGAGTAGATCTCTCTGCAGCGTCGTTAACTCCAGACTCAGCCTCTAGGTCCCAGAAGAAGCCCTCACTTCCCCATGCATGCCCTCATGCCAGGGTGCCTGACGCCTGTCAGAATACTGACACCAAACTCTTTCCAAGCAATGATTTGTATGTGTTTTTGCCATAAGGCCACTGAGTTAGTCTGTAAGAAATTGATTCTGAAGAAAGTTATACTGGAAAGCTATAAATATTGCTGAATTCCATAAGACAGAGTATTTTCAGTATTCAGTGGGTTCAGCCTATCTGTATGTTCTCGTACTTTGCATCTGTTTCCGTTCTAGGAGTACCAAGAAGACAGGAATGACCTTGTGATTGCAGACACTGAGCTGAAGCAAGTGGCTTACATTTTCAAATGCAACAACTCTATGCTCCAGATAAGAGGAAAAGTCAACTCCATTACAATTGGTAGGGCAGAACTCTGCCTGTGTCCTTTCTGTGAGAAGATGCTTTGTACATAAATGTGCTACTGTGTACTTAGTGGCGGTTTTTTTTGTTTTTCTAGACAACTGTAAGAAATTTGGCCTTGTGTTTGACAATGTGGTGGGCATTGTGGATGTGATCAACTCCAAGGACATTCAGATCCAGGTGAGCACCCTCACAGCTGTGCTTGGTTCCCCTTGACCACTCTGTCTCTATCCACATAGTAAACCATTTCCTTTCCTTCAGGATAACTCCCTGCATGCCTTCTCTGTGAAACCCTCCTTTACTCTTTAATGCTACCAGTGACTTTTGGGGGCATGCTGGTGGTCTGTAGTGAGTTGTGTAGCTAACTTAAAGGATGAGCATCTCCAAGTGATTCTAATCCACCAGGGGGTCCGAACAAAAAAGATGGACATTCCCCTCCCTTTAGAGGTTTTAGCCTTGGAAACCATTGGAGGTTGCCAGGAGTTGAAACCACCTCGACAGCAGTGAGTTTGAGAGGTAGGTTGGTGGGTTTTGAATGGCACTCAAAGCAATGCTGAGTCATGACATCCATCTAGTCAGCCATAACTCATAGTGACCCTGTGAAGAGCAGAGCTGAACCTTGCCCGCCTGTGCCATCCTCATCATCTCTGGTATCCCCAAGCTCATTGTTACAATCACGGTGTCACTCCATCTTGTTGAGGCTCTTCCTCTCTTTCTCTGACTTTCCGCCTTCCCAGATGATGTGCAATAATAGTAAGTGTCCAACACAAATGTGATGGATAAGTGATAGGAATAAGTCCATCAATGAATGAATGAATATTTTTAAAACTTCTGGCATATCAGTGTTATCTGCAGAGAGTCTTTTCCCCAGGAAAAATAACAATTCTGCATAAGGAGGACAAAAAACTGTTTTAAAGGGTCAGTGAGATAATCAGAAATGCAAACCAAAAGGTAGCCTGGCTTGTGAATCTACAAAACAGAAAAACAGAACAAAGAAATTGGGGGAAAAAAAAACCCTGTATTTCTTGAATTGGTTTGATTTAGCCAGATGAAATCTCACAGCACACTAAGAAATAGTGGACTTCTCAGCACCAGAAGAATGTCTTCTATCTCGATTACAATCTTCTCATATTGTCCTTTACCCTTTGCTCTCTGGTGCTGTCTACTAATGGCTGTTAAAATTGGTTTTCTAGCTCTTCCCCTTTTGTTTTACCAGGCTCTTTATCACTGCCACTTTTAATTCGAGCGCATTCAATTGTATGTTTTCCATCTTGCCAGCTGTCACTGAGATTTAGTTTTAAATGTGCCCATTTAATGGAAGTAGCCCTGAACGGGGCATCATGAGACCTGGATACAAGTGTGCACTTCGTCATCACTGTCTGTATGCATTTTGGCAATTCACTTTCTATTAGATCCTGGCTTCCCTGTCCTACTGGATTAGAAGGATGGCTGAGGGGTTAGGGTACTTTCCTGCATGACTTCGAAGCATTTTTTCCATGTTGTCTCTTGGATATATTTGTTTCTTTCACATAAAGATTCAATTCCATTTCTATGTATTCTGTGTGTTTTGAATCTGCACTATCTCTGTTGCATTACTCATTCTGTTTTTCACTTCTTCATAGTCTTTTGTCGAAAACTATTTCAAATAAATAATTCCGTGTGGGTACATACCGTACCATCTCACATTCCACTTTGTAAGTAGGGAAAACTGGCCATCCCACGGTCATGCTTCATATTCTGAAATGTGAAATCTTTGCCCAATGCCCCTGAACACTTAGCATTCACTCATACGTTGTGTGAGGATTTCTTGAACATGTCTGGTGACCAGTCCTGGGAGAGGGATGTCATGCTTGGGAGAGTGGAGGGACAGTGCAAGAGAGGAAGACCCTCCATGAGATGGATTAATTTAGTGACTGGGGAAATGGGGAGAGGTGTATCAGAGACAATAAAATTAGCAAGGGTTAGAGCAGGGTTTAGGGCTGTTGGACGCAGAGTCACTATGAGTCACAGGCCACTCGACGGCACATGTTGTTGTTGTTGTTGTTGTTATGTGCCATCAAATCGCTTGGGACTCATAGTGACCCTATGTACAAGAGCTCTAAATGCCGTTCTATCCTGTGCCAACCTAGCCATCCCAAACACACTTATTCCCACCACTCCAGTCACAGAATCAATCCATCTTATCG